AAGGATCCAGCGAGACAGACCCCGATGTTGTGGGCAGGTGGTCCGGGATTCTCCCGCCGCATGTGGGCACTGTCTTTACACGGTGCGGAGGTCGGTGGTAGACAGTAGAAATCTGCCAAATGGAAAAGAATTCATGCGCGGCTCCAACCATCTGCTTAGGCTCGCACAGTGAATAAAGTCCGACCTGCCAGCGGAGCACGCCCGAAGGCCGGCAACATCCCTCAAGGTGTCCGGCACTCGGTCGTAGACTCGACTCTTCAGGCTCAGAGGCTACCTCAACTTACCACCTTACTCATTCCAGCCAAGCATGAGTTGCCTTCTGGGGCAGTCTGGGCCTGGGGTTGACTCACTGCTCCTCAGCAGGTGGGTTGAAAAGAGAAAGGGAGGAAGGAAAAAAAAACAATTTCCTCCGGCGCCGGCGCAGATGGCACACCACACAACAAGCATGAGACGGGACTGGCCACGACACCTCCTTTGCGTGGGTCGCGGCTTGTTTGAAGATTTGGCCGACGCATTAAAATTCTACTTGGTGTAGGATATGCTTTGACTAAGATAGTTGCTCTTGTTACCTTACCTTACCTACCTACGTGCCTACCTACCTTAACCAAAGTCACTGACCTGACCAGAGTGCCGATCCCGGACCGCACATCGACCTATGCGGCTTCGTCGTATCATTTCCATAAAGTGCTGGTTAGTCCAACGGCCGCTCCGACCTTCTAGAGGTCCGCATGCACCGCCGCGTCCGCCCTTCAACTCCCCGACACTCTACGGAGCTTCCATATTGGTCACAACCGTTGAGCCCCAGGGCGACATCCTGACAATAGAAATAAGATTCCTCTATGCCTTCCAAGCCACTTATATATACGACCAGGCGCTCCAATTGCTGCGATATAGTGATGATGCCCCAGAGAGCATGCTTATTATATCCTTCTAAAGTACGCGCAGTACACGAGCGAGCTGAGGGTTGGAGTGGCCCACAGCCATATGCGGGAACATGCCCGGGCACCGTCCCACCCCACCTTGGAGATGCAAGTAATAGGAAGATTTGCTTATGTGACTTATTTCCTGTCTATTGCTTCCATTGTTAATGCCCCTACCCGTTTTACATGAAGGAAAATTCGAGTGAACACCCTTTCTACAAATCCATTTTAGCAACGACGTATAGCATCATTCATGACCAGAACGTAAGATGGCCGTTTCGTTGAGAATGTTTGAGACCAAAACGTCAATTACCATCTATCAAGCGAGAAGCTCATCCATTCAATGCTGCTCTGCTTGGCTTAACCCTCAAAGCGGGTTTGTTGACGTGGCGCCAAGCGTGACGCCGCCGCCTTTCATGACGCGAAAGAATCAGAGCATGACCATCACGCACTCCCCTAATGAAGTCTGTCATGAACGTGAAGAACCTAGCAATCCGGCCGACCGATAGTCGTCGCTCAGCTCTGCTTGCATTCAGCCGCCTCCTGCTTGGGCTTGCCGGTGTCGTCCTGAAGTATGGATTAGCGTCTGCCATCGTAGGATCCTCGGGTTACACGTCACTTACGTCGTCCTCGGACTCCTCATCCTCGTCACGGTCCTCACTAAGATCATCCTCGTCCTCGTCGTCTTCATCGTCGAAGTCACCCTCCAGGTCATCATCGTCGAGCTCCTCAAAGGCCAAAGCCTCGCCGGTGAACCAGTCAATGGCACGGGGAATGAGCTTCTCCTTGATGTCTTCACCGAGTTGGTAATCAAGCTCGAGGCGCTCCTCGATGTCGGAAGCAGCGTCATCATCCTCGTCGGCCGGGGCCTGGGGGGGAGAGAAGAAGTTGAAGAAGGATTCGGTGGGCACCGTCTTCTTGACAATTCGGGTCTGCTTGGTGTCTGAAAGAGGGATTAGCAGGTGCATCGCGATGGGCGGTATGTGTGAAGAGCTTACTCTTGTTTCTCTGCTTCTTGCTCTCGACTCTGACAGTCAAATCCTTGCCCTCCTTCCACTCAATCTTATCACCCTCAGCATGGTCGTAGATGAAGTCACCGCCGTAGCCGCTTTCACTTTGGTAAAAGTACGTCTTGGTGACGGTCTTGTTTGTGAAGAACTCATTGTCGGCAAATTCGAAGATAAGGCGGAAACCGGGCTTGTCGAGATATTCCATGCGGATATCGATCAGGTGCTTGAGAGCGGCCTCGTCGCGATCGGTAATCATCTCGGCGAGAGAAATTTGGTTCTTCATGGCAGACAACCAGAACTCAGGGATACCAGAAACCGGCTCAGTGGATTCGGCAGCCTTCTCGGTCTTCTCAGCTTCCTCAACCTCCTCATCATCATCCTCGTCATCCTCCTCGCCGGCCTTGATCTCCTCCTCTGTAGGTTCAGAGGCACCGTTGACAACCTTGGCACGCTTCTCGTAGAGAGGAGTGAACTTGGCAAAGTACTTCTTCTCGAGCTGGAGAACCTCCTCTTGAAATTCGGCCTCAAGCTTAGAGTGTTCCTTCTGGATGCCTTTGAGGCCGGCAACACGGCGACGCACCTGGGGAGGCAGCGACTCGATGTAGCCGGAGGATCGGCCAACGAGAGAACCAAGTCTTCCTTGGATCATCTGGACGAGCTTGGGATTCTGAGCAAAGATAGAGGCGGCAGCGGCACGATCGAGATCCTCTGTGAAATGGGTGCACGTCAGTAACGGGTCGATAGAGGGGCGGGTGTCTCCAGAGGTGAGGCCCCAAAGTGCGCGCAAGAAAGACAAGAGTTGAACATTGCAGCGGGGGTTTTGGTACATACCCTCCTTGATGCTGGCGACGCCAGGCTGCTGGGCACGCGACGAAATGGGCGCATTTTGAAGGGGGGTATTTTGCGGCGTACTGTATGCTCAAGAGTAGATGTCAGCCATGGTGGTCGTGGAATGGGGCAAGGGAAGCCTAAGGAAGCGACCCCTCGCCACCGGGAAGAACAGTGCCGCAAGATTTGTGACTTACGGCGCGGTGGCCGGATCAAGGCGCTTGTTACGGATGGGCTCAGCCATTATGTGCGTTCGAATCTTTTGATCGTCCGTATTCGATAATAGAGTGAAACCACAAGAGGCGTGGGACAGAGAAGTCCTGGGCTGATCTTGAAGGGAGGTTGCGGTTGATGGAGATGGCAGGGTAGAGAACGTTGCCGAACGTGGGAAGTTGTAGATGCGCAGTTGACTTTATTTTGGTGGGGGGGAAGGTAATGTGTGGTATTGGAAAAAAAAAATTGGGAGAGAGGCTTTCTCCTCCGTTGGGGCGGGTACCGCAAGTTGGCGCCTGGGCTCCTCCTATGGTTAGGCGGGCATGGCGGGCACAGCGGGTAGCGTGCTGCCAATGGATTCCACTGCGGGCGACTTCCACAAAGACGACCTGAGCCAAGGGGGCCGGGGTGTCGGGCAGACAGTTCCATGCAATTGAACCTCATGAGGCAAGATAGGTAGGTACCTAAGGCACTATGCCTACCTACCTTAACTATCCGTACAAACCTAAGATACCTTAGGTAACCTGGTAGGTATGGAGGAGGCATGTACACCAGGTGGTGCAGCACTGGTTATCCGAAAGGTAGCCTAAATAAGGCGGGCAGGCACCTAGGCAGTCCCGCATCACTGGGCTGGGCTCTCTTGAGAGGTAGCGTTTATTGGCCAGACGTGTTGAGAAGGTTTTGATCTTAACAGAAGAATCAACAGCGACCTTCGAAAACTGCCCTGGGGCTCTGAATACCTCTTTGTCGCTGCATGACTGCACAGCTTCCAAGAGAAAGACAGCGAAACATACCACTCAATACCAGTCAAACCGTATCATTCCAGCAAATTTAGCCCAGGCAATCTCAGCATTGATTCCATACTTACCTACGATACCCATACGTGGCTGGCGCTGACCAAGTGAGGTAATGCGGGGATTGCAGCGGGGGCCACTGGGGCTACTACCTAGGTACCTATACCTAGGTATCTCAGTCACAGCGCTCCCTCCCGTTCGTCCTGCGCAATCTGGACAGCATCCAAAGTATCGTCATCTATCAGACAAGTCCCCCGCTATGTAGCTAGATATATACCCGGTATAGAACTGTCTTGCAACGATCATTCCCATCAATGTTGATTTAGACCAGGTCGGTGCATGGTTTTGTTCGATACCTATTGCCTTTGAGGTGGTTACCCGCAAAGGTCTCCGTCGGCATATGCCGAGGGTTGCTTACCTAAAATTTCGACGGGACAGAAATTCCTCCCCTCTGCCACCCCTCCCACCCTGATACCTACGCCATTCCGCCCTTCGCAAATTCCAGCGGTTCGTTTCCTATCAGTGCAGGAGGTGGCCTAGGTACCTAGTTGCCCAGCCACCGTGCTCGCATGATACGGTTGCTTACCTTCGCAAGCAGCTTGAGTTACCTTAGGTAAGCAGGTAAGGTCCATGAAAGTGTCGTCACATCCTTTCAGAGGTACAATTACCCATGATAGATAGCTAGCTACCTTACCTAAGGACGGAGAAACCTGCCTACCTTACTCCAGTCGCCTCACAATCTCTGAGAACCTGCAAAACTTCTTCCATGCCAACTTAAGTCGCTTTACTCTTGGAGCACTTAAGTATGCGATATGCCAACATACAATCTCCGTAGCTCAATAAGACAGCTACGGGTGCCTGGCTTTTCCTTGCACCTTCGCGAGCTCGAGCTAGAAATCATCCAGTTTGAGGACGATTGAGCCGACCGTGCGGGCATCCGCGTTGACTTTCTTGACCTCTCCATCGACCCCCCCCCCCCCCAAACTCCGAAATCGCATCGCAGCGCATCACAGCATAGCTTCCTCGAGCTTCCCTTAGCTGTTTCTTCTAACTGTCTCAACCCAACTAAGCGTTTTGACCCACGGGTATGTGCCACTCTCGCCAAATTTACAACGCCGCTTCTCTCAACTCGAACCTCGTTTCGGCAGTCCAGCCACGCCTTCAACCTCTTGTCTCTCGAGCTGGAACCTTCGATACCATTACGGCGACTAGATCGCCCTGAGGAAGTTGCAGATATGCCTGCGCCAGGAGAGAATGGGCATCATCGTGCCTCCTCTACATCGAGGAATGGCCATGCGCCGCTCTACCGGCTCGACTCGAATCAAAGCTCAACGAGCATCTTCGAGGAGGTAGAGATGGCTCATGACGAAGTCAGACAAACCCAAGTCCCATCTCCAATTGCGTATTGACGCTGATCATACTGTCTGTAGCTTTTCTCTGGTCCTATGGCCGAAAGCCTTCCTACCAGCGTTTCAGCCTTCTCCCATCGACGGCCCCGTGCTGACTCGACGACGAGTTTTGCATACTATCGCGATGAACCCGAAGCCTCTCCTACTTCGTTCGAAGATGAACGCCAAAGCCTGTCAGATGTGGGAGACTTTGCGTTTGGTGACGAGGAGGAAAGCTACGCTGATTACGAAAACGGCGAAACCATCGATGATTACATGTCCCAACGCAGGCGATCGTCAACGCACTCAAGATCGTCTGTTCACGCCCGCCTGTTGCGCCAGGACAGTGGCATGACCAACAAGAGCCTTGGTGGAGATCGTTTAAGCCAGAAGGTCTACATGGTGAATGAGGACCTTACCATTGCCATTGCTGGCTTTCGGACAAGTCGACTTGGCTTCACTGCTTATGTCGCACTTTGCCTATGCACTGCTGGTGTCGCTTGGCTACTACTCAGATGGTTTCCTAGATGGCATGTAAAACTTTTGGGTCTGCCGTCTCCACTGGCCGAGTGTGACTGGGTTGTTGTCGAGGTAAACTATGCGCTCCCCCTATTGTTGCACATGAGCTGACTTCGTCTAGAATCAATGGGGAGAATTTGCCCTGATGGACGTAGACAAAAAGCTGTACGGTAGACCTATGTCTACCATCTTTGGCCACACTGGAAAGAGCTACGGGGTAGATGATGATTACGACCCAATCATCACCGAATTACGCATGCTCAACTATCGTTATGTTCGCTTGTACTTCAACCAGCAAAAGGACAAGTTTGTCATATTCAACGGCTGGGTTGACCCGAATTGGACCGATCCTCGCGCCGTGCGTGCTGGCATAGACAGTGATGAGAAGGGACTGCGAGCAGTTGTTTTTGGGAATAACCTGATTGATATTGAGCAAAAATCAACACCGCAGTTGCTCGTAGATGAGGTAAGAAATCGTTTGTAGTGGTAGGTCGAGATACTGATCGTTCCAGGTTTTCCATCCTTTCTACGTCTTTCAGATTGCTAGCCTGATTCTGTGGTCTCTTGACGAATATTATTACTACGCCGTGGCTATCTTCCTAATGTCGTTTGGAAGTATTGCCACCACCCTCATTGAAACCAAAGCGGTAGGTCGAATTCACCATTGTCTTTTGTTGGTATAACCGGAGGCTAATGAAACAGACGATGAAACGACTCCGCGAGATTTCTCGCTTCGAGTGCGATGTGCGTGTACTTCGAAATGGATTCTGTAAGGACTCAGCTGCCGTATAAACTTGCTCGAAATCCTGACGGACATAGGGCGATTTGTATCCTCGAGTGAGCTCGTGCCTGGTGACGTTTACGAGGTCAGCGACCCAAATCTGACTCAATTTCCGAGCGACGGCTTGCTTTTGAGCGGAGACTGCATCGTTAACGAGAGCATGCTGACAGGTGAGTTTCACTCGCAAGTCCTACTTCCGCATGAGTGAAACTGGTTTGGCTTACATCTCGCTCTCAGGTGAATCGGTCCCTGTGTCTAAAACACCGGCCACCGATGAGACGATGTATAGTCTCGATTTGGCTGCACCGACCGTGTCGCCAGAGATTGGCAAACACTTCCTCTTCTGTGGTACCAAGATCATTCGCGCCCGGCGACCGCAGGAAGAGCGTGATGGAGACGCTGTCGCCCTCGCACTCGTGGTCAGAACGGGATTCAGCACCACGAAGGGATCCCTTGTACGGTCCATGCTCTTCCCCAAACCATCCGGCTTCAAATTCTACAGAGACTCTTTCCGGTACATCAGTGTCATGGCTATCGTAGCCATGCTTGGTTTCATCGCCTCTCTCTTCAATTTCCTGCGGCTGCACCTTGCCTGGCACCTCATCATCGTCCGTGCTCTCGATCTTATCACAATCGTGGTGCCGCCAGCGCTACCCGCGACGCTCACCATTGGGACCAACTTCGCGCTGGGCCGACTGAAGAAGAAACAAATCTTTTGCATCAGTCCACAGCGGGTCAACGTAGGTGGTAAGATTGACATCATGTGCTTTGACAAGACCGGCACCCTAACAGAGGACGGATTGGACATACTCGGTGTTCGGGTTGCATCAACAGTAACAGGCAGGTTCACGGAGGTGCTTACCGATCCATCGTCGTTCGTACAGGCGCAGGCCGGCGGTCCAGCCCAGATGTCAAAATTGAGGGCAGCCTTGTACACCATGGCAACTTGCCACTCGTTGAGGTCTGTGGACGACGAGCTGATGGGTGATCCACTTGACCTCAAGATGTTTGAGTTTACAAGGTGGTCTTTCGAAGAAGGCAAACAAAGTCCCAACGAGGCAGACGACCAAGACCAGGGCAGCCTTTCGCCGTCAGTCGCCCGACCTCCAGCTGAGCATGATGCTCTTCTGCGAGGCGCCACTCAACAAGGAGATCAATCGGTAGGCTGCGGACCCCTGTCGATCAAAGCTAGACTAACCCACTTAACCAGCAATTGCTTGAGTTGGGGGTACTGAGGTCCTTCGAATTCGTTTCGCAGCTCCGTAGAGCAAGCGTCATAGTTCGACAGTTTGGACAGCAAAGTGGGGACATATATGTCAAAGGCGCTCCTGAATGCATGCGGGAAATATGTCGCGAAGACAGCTGTGAGTGATCCATATCTACCGAACTGATTTAGGTGTACCTCGAAAGGCACTACTGACCTTGAATGTCCTCTTCAACATATAGTCCCAGTCGACTATGATGATCAGCTTGCCTACTATACACACAAGGGTTATCGCGTCATTGGCTGCGCAGCTCGCCATATTCCAAAACTCAGCTGGGTCAAAGCCCAGAAAATGAAGCGACACGAGGCCGAGTCTCAACTGGAATTCACTGGTTTCATTATTTTCGAAAACAAGCTCAAGCCGACCACAGCGCCTGTACTGACTGAGCTACTGGAATCGAACATCAGTACGACGATGGTGACAGGTGACAACATCTTGACTGCCATCAGTGTTGCTCGTGAATGCAACTTGATCAACAAGACTGCGCACTGCTTCGTTCCGAGATTCATAGAAGGCAAGTGGCGACAAGTGAGGTATCTGATTGATTCTAACAGTAAGCAGGCAACGCCGGTGACCCAAAGGCTCGGCTACGGTGGGAGAGCATTGATAACGGGGGTTTCCAGCTGAACGAACAGACTCTTCTTGCAAGTTCATTACAATTCTAAAGACATTGTTGTAAAGCTAACTTTGTTGCACAGCCACTACCACCTCCGGCTGACGTTGACGCATCATTGGCATACAACATCAATGACATCCGCAATTACTCTCTAGCAGTCAGCGGCGAGATTTTTCGCTGGATTGTGGACTTCGCGCCTCCGTTGGTGTTGCAGAGAGTATGTTCATCCCCCGGAGCGTGCCACCTGGCTGCCTATGCTTACGATCTCAGATGCTGGTCCGTGGTCGAGTTTTTGCGCGCATGTCTCCAGATGAAAAGCACGAACTGGTTGAGAAATTGCAAGCGATCGGGTACTGCTGTGGCTTTTGTGGTGACGGTGCGAATGATTGCGGCGCTCTCAAGGCTGCAGATGTCGGCATCTCCCTCTCAGAGGCGGAAGCTTCTGTTGCAGCTCCGTTCACGTCACGCGTCTTCGACATCGGTTGCGTTCCCCAGGTTATCCGGTAAGTGTTTTCACCCCCCACGAAGCAGAGTATCATCATAACACATATCTTTAGCGAGGGTCGTGCTGCACTTGTGACGAGTTTCAGTTGCTTCAAGTACATGAGTTTGTACTCGGCCATCCAGTTCACGTCCGTCAGCTTTCTTTATGCTACAGCTTCTAATCTCGGTGACTTTCAAGTAAGTTGACATGATCGCCCAAAGCGTCATCACTGGCTGATCACTCTTTAGTTCCTATTCATTGATCTATTGTTGATTCTTCCTATTGCCATTTTCAGTAAGTCATGAGTCTAGTTCAGAACCGTTGAATAAAACGCTTATAAGTATCGTAGTGAGCTGGGCTGGGCCATACCCTGTCTTGTCACGAAAGCGACCAACTGCAGACCTCGTCTCTCGCAAGGTGCTCATACCGTTACTGGGCCAGATGGTCATTTGTATACTCGTGCAAACTGCTGTATATGTCGCCGTGCGAAAGCAGTCATGGTGAGCGCTTCCTACCTTGCTCCCACCATCATCTTTACGCACTGCTAACTACAAGAAAAGGTACGTACCCCCACGTGTCAACCATGACAAGTCGAATATCAAGAACTCGGAAAACACGGTTCTATTTCTGGTGTCCTGTTTCGAGTACATCTTGGCGGGTGTGGTCCTCAACGCGGGCCCTCCTTTCAGAGAAAAGGCGATGACGAACTGTAGGTGAAGTCGGATTGCAGCAACATTTGTCCAAGGAACTAACAATGAAAAGGGCCGTTTATGACAACCATCGTGGCAACCCTTTCAATCACAATATGGATGATCATTGGCCCGGGGCATTCAGTAAGGCACCTGATGCAACTTACCAAGACAAGCTGGGACTTTGAGCTCTTCATGATTCTACTCGGGGGCGTTTACTTGGTCGCGGCATGGACATCAGAAAAGTACCTCTTCCAAAAGCTGGCTCGGGCCGTGGGACGTTTCAAAGAAAACTTCCTGAAGAAGCCGAAGCAAAGAAAGGAGTATAAAATCATTTTGGAGCACATGGAGTTGTAGGATTACAAGGTTGAAGAGATGCCTTTGCGGCTTGATTGCACACGCTGCCATAATTCCACGTAAAGTTGGCGAGCATTGCCTTGATGTATTAAAATAAGGAATCGAGTGTGACGATTAAATCTAGTTTCTCCCTGAATGCGAACTTCTCAGTCTCGGTTTCTAGCTCGGATGTCAGGATCGTGCTGTATCAAGCTACCTGAGTTGACCATAAATGAAGGTGTCATCGATGATCCACCGACCCGCATTCCGGTGCCGAACTAGCCCAGGCGGGTCGCTCCGGCTCCGAGTGGCCGGGGTCGCGGTCGCACCCTGCGACCTGCCACCCCAGCCACAATCACAGCTAGCTAGTCGATACAATCATTCAGGTCAAGCTTCGACTGCTACCTGTTACTTCCAAGTCTCATACCAGTAATCTCCATTGAAGTAGCCTAAACACCTCGCATCAACCAACAACCCATATTGCTTTAGACCTCACTCGAAGCGGGTGCTCGGACATCGCTTGGGTTTCAAAGTACAATACAACCTCACGCATTGGGACTCGGGCCACAGAGACGGTCAATCCCTTATTTCTGCCTCTCTCATTCCACTGAACCTTCGCGAATCACCTCTACCGCGAAGATGAACATGGGTATGTCCTCGCATACAAGCCTCATGAAGCTCATTGTGAAGTCAGCATGTGACTCGACAACAGCTCTCTAACGCAACATCTAGACTGGATTCTCGACAGCGGCTACCTGCCCAACGCCGTCATCAGGATAGGCATTCGGCGCCAGCTTCAGGAGCGTCTCGACTCCATCGCGAGCACGTCTCTCGGCCTCGATTACGAGCGGAAGATGACGTTTATCGAGAAATTGCGCACTCAACCCATTGCAATTGAGACCGCTACGGCCAACAAGCAGCACTACGAGGTTGGCACCGGTGTCCTCGCCGCATGCCTTGGCCCCCGCATGAAGTATTCGTGCTGTCTGTACCCCAAGGGAGGCGAGACATTGGCACAGGCGGAAGTGGCCATGTTACAGACGTATATTGAAAAGGCCGAACTAAAGGATGGTATGAGTATCTTGGATCTCGGGTGAGTCGTCTCCGGCCCTTCCCATGCATCGTGAGATCATATGTTAGATTTAGGGCCTGACTGACCGTTACAGCTGCGGTTGGGGATCAGGAGCGCTGTACTTCGCCGAGGTACTTCCTAACTCCAAGGTCACGGCCTTTTCCAACTCCAGGACGCAGAAGGAGTACATCGATGGGAAAGCCAAGGAGAAGGGCTTATCAAACCTCACGGTCATCACAGGTAACGTTGTTGACTATGAGTTCGAGCGGGAGTCTTTTGACAGAGTTGTCTCCATCGAGGTATGTATTTTCCCTGACCGCTAGATGCGTCCGATGAAAAGGATTTTGACTGTAACAAAAGCTATTTGAGCACATGAAAAACTACGAGCTCCTTATGGCAAAGGTGGGCAGGGCCTTAAAGCCTGGTGGCAAGCTTTTTGTCCATATCTTTGCCCACAGGACCACTCCCTACGATTAGTGAGTAACGGCCGCGATGTTGTGCATTATCGGGAAGCGCTGACCGCGGAAAATCTCAGTGAGGAGGGCTGGATGACGACGTATTTCTTCACAGGAGGCACTATGCCTTCCACCGACCTGCTCCTATTCTTCCAGCGGGACTTACAGATTCAGAAGCAGTGGTGGGTCAACGGACAACACTACTCCAAGACGTGCGAGGTAAGCTGCCGCCGATCGCCTTTCTACCGTACATCAGTCTCAGTATGACGAGCTAACACGAGCATCAAGCACTGGCTGAGCAAGATGCTTGCGCATAAGAAAGAGATCTGGCCGCACTTGGTCGAGACGTATGGGGAGCAGAACGCCAGCGTGTGGTTCAACAGATGGCAAATCTTCTACTTGGCGTGTTCCGAGCTGTTCGCCTACCAAGGCGGGGATACCTGGGGCGTGTCGCACTACCTCTTCGAAAAGCCCAACACTCAGTAGAAGAAGTGACGGACAGAGATGAACCCAAGCATGGTTGGGCTTGCCGCAATTGCTTTGCACCCATAATAGAGTAGCTAATCGTTGATTCCTCTGCCTATATTTGCCTGACTTTTGGACTGGCGAATGCCGAATGATCTGTTGATATCGCGCATCTTGCGCGTATTCCTCAAACTTCTTGTTCACTAGACCACTCATCTTTAGAGCTTTCGGTTCAGTGATCCCAAGGGTGCTTCCAGCCCAGCAACACAGCTCCTGCACATTTCCGTCAGCAATCACGCAATCAGTATTATCGAAAGTTGTAGGGAATATACCGTCTTTCTTCGCGCGGTACATGAGCTATCGATGGCGCAGAATGACATTAGCTTCCTCGGCCTCGCGATATCAATAAGGGCTTCGGTAAGGGACATACGAAGAACCACATGCCAGCGCCCAGGGCAGTCGCTGTGAAGCGGTACACACCAGGGACGTGAGGCGTCGGAGGCTTGGGGCCGGTATACATGGCGAAAGTCGATACGCCAGGCGCGTCGTTCCGGGAAGATTCTCGAGGGAGAGGAATGGATGGAGGGATTCTTGAGGTTGCAACTCGTCAGCAGGCCGCCAGAAACTCAATTGAGTCCGGTCGAGTGGGCTCACATACCTCGGATTCGCCTTTGCCTCTAGGCGTTCTAAGCTTTGCTGGGAAACTAGGTCGGGAAATTCGGACAGTGATGGCCGTTCATCAGTCCCGTAGGAAGAAACGTCGTTGACGGACTGACAATCTAAGAGGTCCTTGGATGCTTAGGTAAGTCGGCTTGTGCCGGAGTGTTGGACCAATGGCAGAAAGTGCATTCTAAGTCTCTCTTTTCGTCTTGGCCCAGGGGACTACCCACCCAAGAGCACTGAGTGACTCGTGCTCCATTCACTCGGTACGTGTCTCCTTTGTCAAGACTTGCAAGGCACGTAGGTACCTAGGTACTCCGTTCCTTACCTTAGGGGTGGATACCTATTCGGTACCCACCAACCTTCCATTGGGTGCTTGGCTAGCAGCACCTCATTCTTCCGAGTTCAAACTTGCAGCGCCTCATTGCCGCAGTACCTACTCTCCAGGTCAGTACAAAGGCTCAAACCCCTGGGCACTCAATTAGCGGCGTCAGGGTAGGTGGTCGTCGATTCCACCGTTAAGCCCCCCCGGCCGGATAAGAACCCACCCCTCCCCAACTCCAGTGACAGTCGCGGCATGAGATGGTTAGTGCCACCTATCCCTCCACCTGTCACGTACACATACATACACTCATACACTTGTTCAACACCAGCCTGTCTATCTGCGCCTGCATCAACTATCCATTCTTCTACGCAAACTTTTGCGACCTAACCCGACACAGACGCTCGCTCGTTCAATAAAAAGCCACCTCTTCCCGGTCTGGATTATTTTGTCAACTGGATATCTAGACACGACGACTTACGCCGATTATCGATCAGCGGACGATTACATCACCTAAATCTACAACAACCAGCGTATGCAACATGGCAACTCCTAAGTTCAACTCAAAGTCACCGACTATACGGCGCATATGTAAGATGCCTCTCAAACGTTGGATTCTTATCCATCTGACCACTCAGAAGCTCGCTAATCAATCGGACCCAAATCAGTGCGCGAAGCCCAAGAACTCTCCAGCTCTCCATCACCAGATTATACGGCTACTCCATTAGAATCAGATCTATTCGAATGGCACTTCACTTTCCGCGGGCCACCCAACTCCTCCTACAGCGAAGGCATCTACCATGGCCGTATCGTGTTGCCGCCTACATATCCTCTCCGTCCGCCGAGTTTCCGGTTCCTTACACCCAGCGGCCGTTTCGAAACCAACAGGGAGATTTGTCTAAGCATCAGCGGCCACCACGAAGAGACGTGGCAGCCTGCGTGGGGCGTGAGGACTGCACTCGTCGCGTATGTTCAGCCTGGGACTCCCTCCCTCTGCCTTTCCAGTCCCTATTAGAGATGTTTCCCCGTTAACTAACAAGATAAAAGGTTGCGCAGCTTCATGGAGACGGACCCCCGAGGCCAGCTGGGCGGCCTCGAGACAAGCGATTCTGTGCGGAAGCGTCATGCCATCGCATCGCACACATTCAAATGCCCAACGTGTGCAAAGACAAATACTGAAATCATCCAAGAATGTGAAGAATCGGCCAAGGCCAATTCCGACTCACCAGATTCAGCGACTGAAGTTGAGATACCCTCCGAGCTGAAGCTTGGATACAAGGATGAGATGACTGAGTCGAAGGTCTTAGAAGGAGGATCCACGGAAGCAGTGACACCGGTGTCTCCGACACCAAGAACCGAACCGGCGGATGCAGAGAGTGCCGAGCTGGCCGAGGGCTTTGTTCGTACGGCACCTGAGACAGTCGTGGCGGCCAGTTCGGCATCAACATCACAATCACCAGCAACGGCGGCATCTTACCCTCCTGCGCGTCCAGGTCAAGGGATTATCACCCCTACACGGACGGTCTCGCTGCCTCCGGCCCCAAATCTTAGTGTTCGCCCCCAGGCACCTCCTACCACCCGTGCGTATGACGAAGGCGTACCACTGTGGGTTGATCGAGCCATTGTTGTTCTCGTTGTACTTCTGCTGGCCATGATTCTCAAAGTCTTGCTTGACTTTTAGTTACGATGATGCTCCTACAATTTGCATGAGGGGATCCAGCCCCCGTCACCCTGGATGAACGCTGAGATGCGAGAATCTGTTTTTTCACGGTTGCTGGCGTCTGGTTGAGGTTATTTAGGCGGTTTTGCTTGGCCATGTCCATGATATATCGTCATCCGGAAACTTGTAGACTTGGTTTTATTGCTACGATGGCCACTGAGCCAAAAGCCCATGTTCCCAACGGGATGGGGATACCACTCCAATGAACTTTTTGGACCCTTGACCTGCACTTCGTAGGGACTACTCTCATACGCGTGCTATCCCGACTACCTTCATAATATCCTCCTTCACGAGTCGTTCACAACCCATTCCGCTGCTGTCCAACAA